AAGAGTGTAAGAAACAGGACATGTTCAGAATGATCTCTCCCATATCACATCCTTCCAGTTTCCAACAGTCATAAACTTAGGGAAGCCTGGGATTACATCCCTGACTATTGCATTTTAATAGCCCCCGATGGACCTGTCCTCTATAAATTTATCTAAAGCCCTTTTTTGAACCCAGTCGTACTGTTGGCACCCACGTTGTCCTGTGGCAGGGAGTTCCATGAGTTAATTATGCATTCCGTAAAAATGTACTTCCTTCTATTTGTTTTACATTTGCTGTCTGACAATCTTATTGTGTGCCTCTAAGTTCTTGTATTATGAGACACAGTGAATAACAGTTCTCTGTCCACTTGTCTCAAACCATTTCCCTTCTCATATCTCCTCTCAGTCACCTCTTTTCCAAGCAGAAAAATCTTAATCCTTTCAGTCTCTTCTCATATGGAAACCATATGGCACATACCTCTCCCATTATCTCAAAGGATAGACTTATGGGCAGCCTGACACACTTCAGACTTGTTTGAATTCAGCTTGATCAGACTCACTAAGAAGGGACACCCCATTTGGGATTCAGCTCAGTGAGAGGAGGCTTCTACCAATGAACTTAACTGATTGACAGACTTTAGAGTTAACAGAGGGAAAAAGGTAGGTGATGATGGTGCTTACTTTTGCCCGCTAGCCTAATGTTTAATGCACTTGCCCAGAAAGTGGGAGACCTGGATTATAGGCCTCCTCAGACTGATAGGTTCCAAGGCCACATCTCCCACTTTCTGGACAGTGCCTTAACCACCAGACCAGTTAGGTAGGGCTGAGGGCATCATCCTCCATCCCTTCTGTTGAAGCTGGGCCAGGGGGCAAGGAATGCAAGAGGCAGGGCCTAGAAGACCATGCAAGGGTGTGCCAGGTTGATCCTCAAGTTGGGCAGAGGGAGCCCTGGGTTCTGTCCCTTGTCTGTGTCATAAAAGAAGAGCTTCTGAAGTTCCAAAACTCTTTCGACTACTCCCTCTCAGAATTTTTAGAGGCTTTTCCTGGATCACATCAGCATAATAGTAGGCCTCCGTGGCTTATGTGAAATTATCCATGATGTTTGATGTCATTGCCAAACAATTTGCTGAAGTGACTATGGGTCAGATTCTGTTTCCATTTTCACCTGTGTATGGTTTCTTCGTAGATCTGAGATTTGAAGGTGGCCTTTGCACTAGTTTTGATATCACCAGCCTGTTGCTGAGAACACAGGGCCCTAAAGTCTCACTAAATATAGGGACATCATATAAAGTGGTCAATCAATAACTTTTAAATGATTTAGTCCTTATCTTTTACCGGAGGTATCAAACCTGTATTTCATTGGTGCAAAATAGAAATAGAAAAATATTTTGATAGCACTGAAATGAATGTACTGTGAGAACTGTTCACAAGCATTCTAAAGTAGGACTGTTATAAAGAGTAATTGGGTGTTTCAGAAGTGAATTTTAAGTAACCCCTTTTCCAGGCTTTAAGGCTTATAAAAATTATTGAGCATTTTAACATTTTTTTAACATTATACTTTTCAAGTCATGTAATAGAAAGCAAATTGTCTAAGGAGGAAATATATATATATACACACATATATATATATCCTTCTAATTTTCTATCAACTTTATATATATATATATAAAGTTGATAGAAAATTAGAAGGATATGTATTTTTTTTATTTGATGTACTAGGAAACATAAAATTACAGGTTACAATAAAGAAGCTGATTTTATTAACATAGTCTTCTCTGAATGGGATCTGATGTTTCTTTCCATTTTTAAAGAATGATTCATAATTTTACACAATTTTTGGTATTTGCAGAATTTCTGCAAGGGTAAAATATCCCCTCGAAAATCTTTCCTGAAATGTGGAGAAGGCATTGCAAGGCGTGAAAAAAGAAAAGGAAGCTTTGGAAAAGAACAAACCAAGCATTCCAGAAGAGTTAGTTTTGACTGCCAGAATCACTTCTCTTGGCCTGGCCGTCAAACTTGGAAATTACATATGGGGAAAGGCTCTTGTTTAAATCGGCAGGCCAGTAGTCCCATGATGTTGAGCACAACTGAGAAAAATACAACCAGTGCTATGTCTGTGAGTGAAATAAAGGGTCTGGGGGACTGTAAGGCAGGTGATCCTGAGGAAAGGCCAGGAGAAAGAGAAGGAGGTGAGGGAGAAGAGAGTATAAAGGGGGAGCCTGCTGTATCACCACAGATGAACTGGCCTGAGCTTATACAGCAGTGTCATGAGCAAATAAGTGGAATGAACCTCCAAGTAGGTGAGAGGAATGAAATGCAGTGTACTGATTCTCTAGCACACCTTGATGGAATGGATAAAAGATCCATGGAGCCTAAAGTCCCAAAGCAGTTAGATCTTGTGGATCAGTCTGGGAAGGGCAACATGGCAGAGGCAGCAGAAAAACCTTTGGAAGCCCTTCAAGAAGATTCTGTGTTTCAGAACTTAGAAGAAGCAAACCAAGCAAAGCATGTGGATTGGAGCATAGGTCTGCAATTCACATCCTGCATGAAAGGGGCTCCCGGCTTGCAAAATAAGTTCTGTATTGTGAACCCAAACTCAGAGAGCAAGAGAGGAACCAGCACTGGATTTAAGCTGGTCAATGACAAAATAGTGAAAGTTTCCCATACATCAGCCCAGCACATGGACAGGGAAAAGGGTGACACATCTGTTGGTCACCAGCGTTTGTGTCAAAGCAGTGGAAATGCTCCCTGCCAGTGGAATGCCTTAGCTGTGGCCAGTGAGTCAAGCCACACATCAACTGACAGTGAGGATGATCCCAAATCACACTGCAGTCAGTATCCCACACAGGCTGCACCACAGAAAGTAGGTCGGACAGACAGACATTTGGATCTCTCTGATGCTGATTATGCTAGTGATGAGCCCAGTGGAGCAGAAAAGATGACCCTGAAAAAACACAAGTCTCAGCCTAAGAAACGGGGGCTTTCAAACCAGCAGGATTCTTCACTCAGCACAAGCAGCAGTGATTCTAGTAATGGAGTTGCCAGGCTGAAAGGGAGTAAGCCTTGCTCCTCTCTTCAAAAGTGTCCTTTTCATCCCCCAAGATCCATGGGAGGCCAACAACAGCCTCAAGCAAAGAGTGAGAGTTGTGCTGGGGACATTAAAACTGTAGATCTGTACTCACTACCCTCAATGGGCAATCTTGTAACTACTCTGTTCCCTACTTTCAAGAGTAAAGACACCCTTGCTGAAGAAAAGGGACATAGAAAGCTGTTTTTGGGGACACTAGGTAAGAACTATTAAGACTAGTGTTTATGGGGGTGCTAGGTAAGGGTTACTGACATCTTACCCTATGTCAGTAGTAACTGAATTTCTTTTGACTTATAATAATTCTATCCTTGTACCATTATTATATACTGCCAGTATTCCTCAACTTGGATCTGGGGAAAAAAGGCCATCAGCAGTTAAAACAAGCTAAAAGTATAAGTCAGTCTGTGTGTGCTTTCCAGTCTTGGGCTCTTTTCTGAGACTGCTAAAAAGTATGGTATTCATCAATTTAAAATAAGTCAACTTAAGTGGGTCAACTTAAGTTAAGCCATGTCAGAGCATACACATGTACACCTCCTTGACATGCTGGCAGCCATCTTGTGAGCTAAGTTGATTTAACTAATGCAACTCAAGATAATACACCTCAGAGGTATATTATCTTGCACCACATTTAAGCTGACTCTGCCCCACATATGTGTATACGCTCTGACAGGTAAGTCAACTTTAAACACTTTAGTTGCCTTAACTGTCAGAAAGTTAGCATGTGTGTACGCACCCTCAGTGACACTTGTAGCAATGTTTTTTACGGTACAAAGTGAGAGAAACAGGTTCAAAACCCCTTCAGTTGAGGGGGTGGTAGGGAGAGAGGGTTATAGAATCAAAACTCTGCATAAGTGGTCTAAAATGCCACTTACATGAAGGAAGGGGAATTGGATTTCTCCATTAATTGTCAAGCTCCTGCAACAGAATTAATACTTAGAGCCACAGCAATGGTTCCATTCAAAATAAAGGCCAAATACATTTTAGCAACCACAATATCATAATGGAATTCATACACTGATGCAGATATCACCTCCATCCTGTCCCACTTACTACCAACAGCAGTGCTTGATTCATGCTAGTAAGCAGAAAAAATGGACTTGATAATACAGGAAGCTCATTCCACTTCTGTGTGGAAGATGTTCTCCTAAGAACCAACTTCCTAGGGAAGTGGTCCTCAGCCCTACCTTGGGTAAATTAAAAAAGAGGTTAGATGATCACCTGTCTGGGGTCTTGTGAACCCAGCATTCATTCCTGCCTGTGGCAGGAGGTCAGGCTAGATGATCTGTTCAGGTCCCTCCTGACCCTAGTTACTATGAAACTAAGTGGAAGATGTTCATAAATAACCACTAAGCTATATATATTAATGTAAATGTCTTTGTAGAAGACACTCAGAAAAGACTGACTGGCAAATTTTTGGAATCGGAAAGGGAGGTTGGTGTGTTTCTTGGAGAAACCCCTCCACTAGCTGGGATGAAAGAAGAGCAGGAGAAAGCAATGCATTTTCTCAGGTAGGTAACCATCCCTTCTCCTGGAAAACAAATCTATCTCTAGACCTTGATACCTAAAACTAGGCTGTCAAACTCACGTTTGGGAACCTGAATAAGTGGCCTTTTTCCATTGGCAGCTGTGTGTGTTTGGAAAATCGGGCCATTTATTTTGGTACCTAAATACAGAAATAAGTGTCTGACAAGGCACCCATGTTTAGAAACTTGGACCTGAGCTGAAAAATAGGGAACGCTTTGTACAAGTTGTTGAGCATCCTCAACTCTCAGAAAGTCACCAAGAACTCACCAAAAGTTGGGGCACGTCACCCCACATGATCAGGTCCTTAATGAAAGAGAGGATCATTTTCCTACATGACATTCAGATTTAGATATTTTTGTAAAGATGTTTGATGTAAAGATTTTGTTTAGATATTTTTGTAAAGATGTTTGTTTCTGAGATTATTCACAATTTATGACTGTTACTTCATATCCAGGTCAAACACCACCAACAGTATTATTTCAAGACTACATTTCTTCAAACTAGGCAACAGTCAGAATGCAGTTTTTTAAGTGTGACCGAAATCTGTTAGAACCTGCACTCACCAACATCTAAATTTTATACAGACTTTTTTGCATTACTGTGTTTTTTTTCTCATTCTCACTAGGTCTGAGACTTTTCTTATACAAAATAAATAATATTTCTTGGTTTGCCATTCTGTTTTCATTCCTTCCTTAATTTGAACAAATGTTTAAGCTGAAAAACAAATTAAGTGTTGACATTCTTTAGTTTATGCCCTTGTATTTCTCTGAGTTTTGGATCAGGTCCTTACAGCATGTCATTAATCAGCTTATACAGTTTTATCCCCATAGTTATCCTTGACATAAAATATTTTGCATCTATTAAAAATACTTTATCAAAGGCTATTTTGGATGTGATCTTGCAAACATGTTCCAGTGACTGTGATAGGAATTCCATATCTGAGCTGTTGGGTCTGTTTTTTTACATTTATAATCTGAAAAATGAAGCTGTCAAGGAAATTAGGCTATTGTTTCTAGTGTAATGTACTGATAGTACTTTCAGCTGCAAAATAATGCATCTGATGCAGAATTAACTGCATCATTCATTCAGCATTGTATTCTGTGCCTGTGATAAACAGTGCTGTCTGGTGGGGCTGTTTTATAAAGCTTGGTATTTTGGCATTTAAAAAGAGTGCTTGTAGTGGAGTTTTGGTGGTGGATGTTTACCTTCAAATCTACACGTGGCTTGTCAGGTACACCTTTATTTCTTTTTTCTAATTTGTGGACCAAAACGTAGGCAGGTGTAGATCAATTAACTGCAGTGGCTTTATGCTGGTTTATACCAGCTGAGGATCTGGCTTTGTATTTTCAAAGTAGTGTGTGGCAGGAGCTCTTGCCGGTAACCACAGTGATTGCACTTCACTCACACCCTGTGATGTTTTTCTTTGGTAGAAGCAATAAAAGTGCTTTTGAGAGTCAGATGACATGCCTGGACCTGTCCAGTCGTCCACCCCTTCTTTGGTTTCCAAGCACATTCTTTTAGAACTATGCAAACACAAGGTTTAGAATTTTGCATCAAATCCACCGCTTAGCAGGGACTGGAGCATGGATAAGAGCTGGAAGGCTTCAGCTCCACTCAGGGAAAATTGAGGTAATTCTTGTTGGTTGTGGGCAGCTGTCATGAGACTCACTGGAGTTTGTTTAGGTTTCCAGGACCAGGAGATTGCCATTTGTGGTGCACCTCCTGCCCTTCTTGTTGAATCCACAGCTCTTCTGATTGCCTTAGTACAGGGATGGGCAAAATATAGCCTGTGGGCTGGATCCAGCCTGCCAAGGGATTTTATCTGACCCATGATTGGTCCCTTGGCCCCACCTAGCCCAGCCGCGGGAGGCAGTCCGAGCTGGTCCTGCTGCCCTTGGGCACGCAACAGTGTTGGGATGGTGTGGCAGCTGGACTTAGTTTCTCAGAAGCCCCAGCAGCAGCAGCTCATTCTAGCTGCCACCTCTAGTGTCACCTCTGACACAGGGCCTGCTGCCTGGGCACCCCAGCCCATCCGCCCTCCACCCGCTGCCAGGGGTACCGGATGGAGTGGGCAAGCAGGGTCTCCATGGAGACCAGCCTGGGACCTGCACAGGCAGGGCACGCTTAGCTGGGTGGATGGGATGGGGCCACAGATAGGTGGGGAGCAGCCTCCAGGAGCAGGATGGGTGGTTGGTGCTGGGGCCAGGATCTTGGGGTGGTGACAGCATGGGGCCATACTTATTACTCCTAACAGATGTTCCAGCCCAAGGATATCCAAAGGCAGGATTTTATCTGCATCCTTTACATCACTTCCATAATCCCCAATTTGGTCTTTGAACAGAACACGAATGGATCAGTTTGAGACCATCAAGACTCAGGAGCTGAACCATGCAGAATACAAGAGAGGTCAAATTCCCATGCTGCTGAAAGAAAATGTTGAATCTGATAAGTACTTGGCAACAACTAGAATCACTGGAGAGAATGGGAACTCCAAAGAAATACAAGTAAGTGCTGCTCTGTCTGATAGTCTGTTCACTTTTATATGGGTTCTTTGTCTTTATTGTACTCAAGCCCTTTCAGCAATATCTGGGTGTCAAACGGCACTGGTGTAGGCTGCTAGGATGTAACTTATGTCCGGTTATTAGGGCTGTGTGAAACAGCACCATTCCATTTTGACTTGCATTTCAGTGTTTCAATGGAACAGTGTTTCATTTCGAATTTCATTTTGATTTGAAACCACTGTTCCATTTCATTTTGTCGAAACAATTTCACTGTTTTGACGCTGTTTCAACATTTCACCCATAGGCTATAATGGGGAAGCTCGAAACAGCCTATAACTTTGTCATTTCTGGCCTGATTTGGATGAAAATGCAGGAACGGTAGCCCCTTCTGAGGGCATGAAGCCTGCGAAGTATCAAGGAGATAGGTGCAGGGGTTTGGGGGAAACTGCACCTCAAGCTGCAGACAAGCAAAACTCATGACATGGGTGACACTGTGTGTGTTAAGGCACAGCGGGGTGAAAGCTGCGGGCTTGCTAGCCCCTGCTGAGGACACGAAGCCTGCCAGCTTTCAAGGAGATAGGTGCAGGGCTTCTGGGCTCTGGGGCCCTGCACCTCTGGCTGCTGACAGGCAAAATTCGTGACATGGGTGCTTGTGGAACTGTGTCTGTCCTGGGTTACAGGGGGGTGAAAACTGCAGGCCTGCTAGGCGCTGCTGCAGCCATGAAGCCTGCTAGCTGTCAAGGAGATAGGTGCAGGGGGAGTCTGGGTTCTGGGGCCCTGCACCTCTAGCTGCTGACAGGCAAAATGCGTGACAAGGGTGGGTGACACTCTGTGTGTGTTAAGGTGAACCCTCACTCAACTGACACCAAGGCAGAAAGCAGGGCAGTTCAAACAATGCTGCCTTTTATGCGGTTTTTCCATCCCTCCCCCAGAGCACTGGGATTGGAAGGGACCTCAGGGAAGGATGACTGTCACTGGCCAGCTGCACAGTCAATAACAAGAGTGGTCCTTCCCCCTCCCTCTCCTCACTTTAGTTTCTGTTTCCCTGCAGGCAAGACCAGCTTGAACTTCAAAACTCAAAACATTTCGAAAATTTTGAAATGTTTTGACTTGCCTCATTTCATTTCGAGGCTGTTTCAAAGCTCTCTCTTTCGTTTGAATTTTGCTGTTTCAAGCTCGAAACAAGTTGAAACAGCATCGAAACAAAACTGCCGGTGAAATGTAACCAATTATGTTGGGATGTAACGGTTATGTTCTATTACTACACACACCAACACAGCTACAACCATGTTGCAGTATAGCAGTGGACATCGGTTTGCTTTGTGGTGAGAGATTGCAGGAAACCCAGAGCTTCCCATGCTCTTGAGTGGCCCTGGCAGGGGCTTTGGGTGTTGAGGGGCCCAATCCTATGCACCTGGGAATTCCTGAAACAGGGGCCTGATTCTGAAAGTTATTGAGCATGTGCAACACTCATTCACATAATCTGGAAAGGTAGGTATTCACAATTTGGTAGCTGATGGTGTCTTCCCTAGGTTCCTGTCAGCACATCTTCTGTCTTGCACAGGATTACTCCTTTTCCTTGTGCTCCTTTTTCTTTATTTGGGTCTCCTCTAATCTGGATGTTTCCTTTATTATTGCTGTGTATCTTAATATCTCTTTTTGCCTTGTTCCTGTCATAAAGAAAAATCATGGTAAAGTATCAAACAAGATGGTAGAAGTTGAGCTTTGCTCAGAATGCTCTTGGAATGGTGCAGTAATGTCACATGCCTTCGTCTAATGGCAGATATTAAAGCAACAGATTGCAGGGCTCCAGGAGGAATTCAGAAGAAATGAGTCCCACTGGCATGCTGCCCATGGCCAGCTGAAGAGTCAGATTGAGATGCTGACCAAACAAAACCTGGAGCTTCGAGGTGAGCTCCGAGTTTCAAAGCATCAGAGGCTGGAATCAGAAAAAAAATCCAGAGTTGTGGATTTCAGAAGCAGAACATCAGAAACCCCGGTATGAAAGAACCTGTTGCTCATGGGTATTTTTTGAGGAGTGGAAATGTCTTGTATAGCAATGTATAATTAATCTTGGTGTACTTTTACATATATATTTAATTCAGTTGTAATGAAACGTAATCAGGGTTAGGTACCTAAGCTTCTGTAGGCTTTTTTGAAGATGTCATCCCAAATAAATATTTATTTTTTGTTTTTTAAATTGCCCGTAATCTGTCTGCTAGTTACAGTGATCCGTGCTTTTAATACAGAGTCTGGGTCACAAAATTCCAGCAGTACCTTAATCAATGTAGAGGACACCCATGCAAACCATCAACATCCTAATAAAAACAAAGGTTAAGGAAGGCAAAATATTCTTTGAGCCAGATTCTCTCTCCCACTCCACCTGCTGTAGTTCACTTCGGTGGTTCAAGACAGCCATTAAAAACTGTAGCTCCAGGCACTGAAGAGACCCTCTCTGTGAGGGAACTGTCAGATGGCAGAAGGGAGTATAAATCAGGTATGGGGCATAGACCTGAAATTGCTGTAACTTAGATTAGGGCTCATACAATTCTTGCCTATGTGCAGGATCCAAGGGAGCATAATGTAGTCAGATGGGGAATTTAAGTCTTTGTGTTTACATTTTAGGGTCTTTCTGTTTCATTTGTCAATAGAGCCAATAAGCTTTCCAGTTTCAAGGTCTGCTTAGTGTGTGACTATTATTCTGTATTGGTTTCTTCAATATATGAGGCCACCCCTTGTCTAGTGGAGTAATGATTATCTTCGTATTTGTGAGATTGGATTGTTATAATAAAAAACCTAAAGGGGGTTTTTGCCACATGGAAAAAAGGAACAAGTGGTTAGTTCTGCTAGGCATGAAGAATAATTTGTTGATGTGTTTGTTGTAAATTCTCCATTAGGTGTCAGAAGCTATTCTGACAGGATTGTCATCCCTGGCTAAACGGGAAGAAAGCCCATTGAGAGGCAGCCATAAAAGTCGAAGCTCCACTCCCATGGGCAGGAGAACACCATTGGAGAAACAGCATCCCAGAGATGCAAATATCAAAGTATGGATAAAACCTGGGGACTGAGAGTATGAAATGTTAACTTGTTGTTTCCCTACTTTGAATGGGGCTGTCAAGATTGGATGTTTGTCTCAAGAGTGCTTGTCTTTCTAAATGATATATGCCATTGTTCAAACAGAAGTTATGGGCTTGAGGCAGGAATTACTGAGTGAAATTGTAAGGCTGGTGTTATGCTATATGTCAAACTAGGAACAACATTTTCAGAAATTCAGATGTGACTGAGAAACTTAAATTTCATCTTCAGAAATGACTTAGGCACTTAAGGGCCTAAGTCTCATTAAAGCATAATAAAATAAAATTACTTACATGATTTTCAAATGAGTTTGGGTACCTAAACATGCAAATAAGTGCCTAGCAAGATTTCAAGATCGCATACGGAGGTTAGGTATCCATTTGTCATTGATGCCATAAATGTTGATAATGAAAGCATTGATTTCAGTGAGATTTAGATATCAGTTTGCCTCTCTAGATGCTTTTCAAAATCCTAGTGGGCACTAACGTGCATCTTTAGTCTCATAAATGCCTTTGAAAACTTCAACCTTTAGAGACTCTGAGCATTAACTTTCAAGCAAAACTAAAGGTGCCTAAGTCACTTTTGAAAACAAAGTCTTAAGTCACTTAAGTGCTCTTGAAAATTTAACCCAGAGGATCATGATCGTTCTTTCAGATCCAATTCTAATTCTGTTGAAGTGAATGGGAGTTTTGAAGTTAACTTCAATGTGGTCAGATTTTCACTCTATAAATGAAATAATGTCAAACAAGTAGATATCCTTCTGCAGTATTTGCATTCTGTTTATAGCCTTTTGATAATTTTATGAAAACCAGAATATGAGATGAATTAGCAGAAGTGAAAGTGGCTTATCACTGGGCCAGCTGATCCCATTCTGTCATTCTGACAGATCCCTTCAACTAGCAGCCCCTGACTGAGGCTGTTCCCTCACAGCCCAATTCACAGTGAGACTGGTGATAGCTAGGACAAGGATTTTTGAGCCGAAGTCCCATCTCCACAAGTGTGTGCGCCATATTTGCTTGTTTTTACTTTTTCAAGTAATACTTCTCTGACTCCTTCTATTGCCTGGCTTTATGCCCTCTGCAGTGTTGATCTAGGAGTTGTAGGCCAGACCAGAGGTGTCTATGAATCACAGGGTGCATCTACACATGCAATTAGCATGTAACAATAAACTCCGGCACAGTTTGCACTAGAGTTTATTTCTTGTGGGCACAGTGTTTACAAGTGCACCTGGGACTAGAGCACATTTTGCTGGGGTGAAGCATCCCCAGGCTGCCAGGAGGTCCAGGATTCGTCCTACCAGGCTGGACTTTCCGCCTTGGCTCAACATGCTGCAGAAGGGCTGGCTGGGGGCTAGCTGGCAGGCAGCCCCTGCACTGTAGCACCCTCATAACCCAGCCAGCCCCTGTCACTATCTACACGTGTGTTTTGGCACACGTAGCTACTTCTCCGTAGGATAGTACTTGTCCTGGACAGTACTACCCTACTGTGGATTTAGTTAATTTACTGAGCCATAATACAGGTGCACAAGTAGATGGTGATGCTTTACTGCAGATCTAAATAGTCAGCTCCTCAGTAAAACACATGGGTAGATGCACCCACATTAATACAGATTGCCCTGACCCTTTCTGTTGCCTAGCTCTGTGCTGTCTGTCAATCAGGGTTGATCTAGGATATCTATGTATCACAGGGATGTCTATGAATCACAGGTGTATTGTGGTATGGGACCTTCCACCAACAGGAGCAGATGTCTAGGGTGAAAAACCATTCCTGTAATACTTAGCTACTGAGTATTTAGTAAGTACCATCCTGAAAGCCCACAGTTCATGATAGAGGTCACTCTTTTTAAAGACCACAATCTTTTTTTTCCAAAGTCAGGGAAAAAAGATAGAAAAAACATGGTATTGTTCCTTCACCAAACCTGTGAGACCTATGGAGTGTAGTTTACCTTCTGGGTGCTCAACCCACCTGCAAAGGAAAGGCTGTCTGAGCCATAGTTCCTGAGAAGTAGGAAGTTGCCCTCTGGACCAGCTGCTACTTGAAACAGACAAGAGGACTCAGACAAATATGAAACAGACTGGTTAGCATGATTTCTAGTCCCCTGAAACAGATCTCAAAGAACTGGAAAATGCTGCCCATACTTTGATTTGACGTGGAAGAAAGTACTTGTGAGCACATGAATATGCTGGCAGATGATCTGAATCAAGATGTCAAAGCTCAGGTAAGTAGGACATTTAAAACAACATAGAAAATATTGGAGGACGAACAGAGTATGCTTGGCATAGGAACTGCGCATGGCTGGTTAAATCTAAAGTAAGGACTTAGCTGTGTTTCTTTTGTATTGGAAATCTCTGTTACCCCAGTCTGCTTTTTCTAGAGGATTCTGAAAACCTAGGCAGAGATAATTCTATGAACATAGATAAATTGGGTGCTTGATGTTTTTGTTCAGACCTGAGACACTCTAGAAGACATTGACTGAAGGCAGATGCTAATTCTACTGAGGAGGGATATGTGACTTTTCAGAAGCTAGCTGGTGTATTTTAAGTAGCATCTTAGGGTGTGTGCAGATGAAACAGGGGCCCTAAATTGAAGCAGTGAGTTTTTAAAAACACTGCTTCAATTTAGGGCCCTTTAAACCCGTGTCATGCACACACCTGAACTTATTTGTCTGTCCAGTGTGTGGAGAGGTCCCTGGGCTGCAGGAGGGGGCTGGTGCTTACCTCCACAGCAGTGGCAGCCCCCACCAGGCAGCACCCGCCTGCAGGCACCTGGCTCAGGCAGTCCCAGGGGGCACTGCAGCCGCAGAGGGAAGCACTGGGCCCCTGTGCAGCTCAGGCGGGCAGGCAGGCTCCAGGGGAAAAAAAAATGCAGGTTCTCCGCTTTTCTTGGGCAGAGCCTGCTTTCTTGGGCTGCTGCCAGGCTGCCTGCATGGGCTTCCTGCAGAGCCCCTGAGCTGCATGGAGCCTAGTACTTTGCTCTGCAGCTGTAGGGCAGTAAACTAAAACTCCTCAGAGGAGTTTTAGTTTGCTGTGCCCCGAGTTATTTAAGGCTCATTATGCTGCTGAATTAGGTACAGCGGCTGGAATTACTGTGCAATACGCTGCTGACACATGCAGACACCAACATCATTAAAGCGGTGCAAAAGCATTTAACTTGCTTTAAAGTGTCATGCACATATGCCCCTCATTTCATCTATACATGGCCTTAAAGACCAGTTGTTTGAAGACTGTGAAGTGTATGTTAACAAAGCACTAGGATAGGGCAGCCAGGCTAGCATAAACTGCAAAATTCTGCAGCTTTGTATTAACCTATGCATGAAAAATGAATTAAATATGATTATTGCATTAGGGGAACAATGCAATGTCTGTATTAAATCCAAGGATATTTAGAGTGAGGCATGTTACTGTAAGGGCTTTGTAAAAAGTTAATAAATTTAAGAGTGTGTTGAATGAGATAACCAGCCCAACAAATCAGTACTTCATAGTAGAAGTCACAAAGTCATACATCACAAAGAAAAGAGTTGCCTGTAAGAAATCTAGAAAGGTTAAGTTAGATTATCTCACATGCAGAAAACTAGAGGACGTAAGTCTACATGAGTGGCTGACTGCTTAACCAAGTGCTAAATGATTGTGTAGTAACTGGCATTACCGCACTGTCCCACCACCGCAGTTATTTTTAGATGCTATTGCATAGTAGGAACAAGCTATTGTGCAGTAGCTTATTACAACTGTGCAGTAGCGTCACTGTTGCAGTTCACGCCTGGTGACATTACAGCATTGTAGCAATGAGCTACGACGCAGTAGCATCTCATGCAGATGTACCTAATGGTAGCTAAAAATAATGCAACAATTGAAATTGACTTTGCTGTGATTTTATTAAAAAAAAAAAAAAGAGGAAACAGTTTTGTAGGAAACTTAATAATTTTAATTGCATAAAATCGTTTGGGGATCAGTTTTAGTGTCTTTAATAGAGAAGATCTCTATAGTAGCAACATTTTTAAAACAAGACAGTTTAGTGTCATGGAATGTGCTAATTAAGGCCCTTGGGGCTAAAAAGCTTGCACAACTTATCAAGCAGGTGGATGTCCACTGACAGCATTATGGTTGTTATGCCTTCTGGGTGGTGCATTGGCAAACTGCATTGGTAAACAACCCTACTGAAATTAAGGAATGTCCTGAACTGCTCCTGCATCATCTTTGGTCACACAGACACATATGCTGCTTTATCAAATATTTTAAGTAGAACCAGGTGTGGTTGTAATATCTGCACAGGTTTAGCAAGGTGCACAGACACCACTTGTTGGCCTGCTTATGTCAAGAGTTGCTAGTATTTAGGAATATATGAAAAGAAGTATTGGTAAACAAAGCTGACAGACTGTCAGTAGAAAATAAAAAACCTGGAGTTTTTGGAGGCTGTCACTTTACACAAGAAAACATCCCTGAGAGAGTACCCAGTGCTCCTGGAGCAGGGGAGGTAGGTTGTTTTACATTTCTGGAAAAAAGAAAATCTATTTTTTTCTGTTTGATTGCACTGCTTTTATTAATGGTGGTTCATGTGTTTACTCTAGTGTAATCTGTTTGGTGGGTGAGCAGAGATTTCAAGCTATGTTTCATCAAAGCAAGGTAAAAATAATTTTTAACTTAAGTGTGTGTACACTTCATGGTTTGTTGAAACCTTATTTTTAAACAGATGGCATATATAGGCATATATGCATGGACGAGGGGGTGAAAGGCACCTTGTTCAAATTCACAGATGACACTAAGATGTGGGGAGAAGTGGGCACGCTGGAGGAGAGGGACAGGCTACAACCATATCTGGACAGGTTACAGGGGTGGGCAGATGAGAACAGGATGGGTTTCAATACTGACAAATGCATAGTACTGCACCTAGGGAGGAAGAACCAGCAGCATACCTACAGGCTGGGGAACTACCTTCTTATCAGCACAGAGGCAGAAAAGGATCTTGGCATCAT